CATCAATAGGTAAGCAAATAAAGAAGACATGGTGTATACACACACGAGAAGATACTATTCAGCCATAAAAGGAATGAAATTCTTTCGTTTGCAACAACATGGTTGAAACTGGAGAATATCATGTTAAGTGAAGTAAGGCAAAGAAAGCCAAACATTCTTTCACTTATATGTAGAATCTAAAACAATTGATCTCAGAGAAGTGAGAGTAAAATAGTGGTTACGAGAGCCTAGGGAGGATAGGAGGTAGGGTGGATCAGGAGAGGATTGGTCAACAGGTACAAAGTTACAGTTAGGGGGAATAAGTCCTGGTTTTGTATGGCACACTAGGGTATTGCTAACTATATATTGTTAACTATAGTTAACAATAATGTATATATCAAAATCGCTAGAAGAGAGGATTTTTAATGTTCTCACTACAAAGAAATGATAAATGTTTGACATGATGGATTTTTGAATAATCCTGATTTAATTATTATACAATGTAAAAGTGTATCAAAAAATCACTTTGTATCCCATAAATATGTACAATTATTGTATGACAATTAAAAATAAAACTTAAAAAATGATAGCTGAATTAAACTTTTCCAAAGAAACAATTCAACTTCAATAGCATCTTTATATTGTTTTTGAATATGATCAATTGATGATGTACATTTAAAATAATAATAATAATTATTATTATTATTTTGAGATGGAGTCTCATTCTGTCACCCAGGCTGGAGTGCAGTGGCGCCATCTCAGCTCACTGCAATCTCTGCCTCCCAGGTTCAAGCGATTCTCCTGCCTGCAGGACTACAGGCGCCCACCACCACGCCTGACAAATTTTTGTATTTTTAGTAGAGATGGAGTTTCACCATATTGGCCAAGATGGTCTCAAACTCCTGACCTTGTGATCCACCCTCCTCGGCCTCCCAAAGTGCTGGGATTACAGGTGTGAGCCACCACTCCTGGCCTAAAATTATTTTTAATGTCATGTTTGCTGCAAGCCACATGAAGTAATTTCTCTTCATTTTATATTATATTTTTCTTATTTCAGCTTTTATTTTAAATTCAGGGGTACATTTGCTGGTTTGTTACATGGATATATTGTATGATGCTGAGATTTGGGGTATAAATGATCCCATCGCCTAGGTAGTTTTTCAACCCTTATTCCCTTCCCTTATTTCCCACCCTGGTAGTCCCCGGTATTTATTGTTGTCATCTTTATATACATGGGAGCCCATTGTTTAGCTCCCACTTACAAGTGAGAGCATGTGGTATTTGGTTTTCTGTGTCTGTGTCAATTCAGTTAGGATAGTGGTCTCCAGCTGCATCCATGTTGTTGCAAAGGACAAGATTTCATTCTTTTTATTGCTGCATAATATTCCATGATGTATGTGTTCATATTTTCTTTATTCAGTCCACCTTTGATGGACATCTAGGTTGGTTCTATGTCTTTGCTATTGTAAATAGCGCTGCAATGAACATAGGAGTGCAGGTACCTTCACGGCAGAACAATGAACATAGGAGTGCCTTCATGGCAGAACAATGAACATAGGAGTACCTTCATGGCAGAACAATTTCTTTTCCTTTGGGTAGATACCTAGTAATGGGATTGATGTGTCAAATGGTAGTTTTGTTTTAAGTTTTTTGAGAATTTTCTAAACTGCTTTCTACAGTAGCTGAACTGATTTACATTCCCACCAACAGTGTATAAGCATTCGATTTTCTCTGCAACCTCACCAACATCTGTTGTTTTTTGACTTTTTAATCGTAGCCATTCTGACTGGTGTGAGATGGTATCTCGTTGGGACTTTCATTTGTATTTCTCTAAGTATTAGTCACGTTAAGAATTTTTTTCTTTTTTTTTTTTTTTTTTCCTTGAGACAGAGTTTTGCTCTTGTCACCCAGGCTGGAGTGCAATAGCACTGACTGGGCTCACTGCAACCTCCGCCTCCTTGGTTCAAGCAATTCTTCTGCCTCAGCCTTCAGAGTATCTGGGAGTACAGGCACCTACTACCACACCTGGCTAATTTTTGTATTTCAGTAGAGACAGGGTTTCACCATGTTGGCCAGACTGGTCTCAAAGTCCTTACCTCAAGTGATCTACTCGCCTTGGCCTCCCAGAGTGCTGGGATTACAGGCGTGAGCCAACACGCCCGGCCAAGGATCTTTTAAACATATTTGTTGGCTGCTTGTATGTCTTCTTTTGAGAAGTGTGTTCATGTTCTTTGCCCACTTTTTAATGGGATTTCTTGCATTTTGCTAGTCAATTTGTTTATGTTTCTTCTAGATTCTGGATACTAGACCTTTGTCAGATGCAGACTTTGTGAATATTTTCTCCCATTCTGTAGGTTGTCTGTTTACTCTCTTGATAGTTTCTTTTGCTGTGCAGAAACTCTGTAGTTTAATTAGGTCCCACTTACCAATTTTTGTGTTTTTGGAATTGCTTTTGAGGACTTACTCATAAATTCTTTGCCAAGGCTTATGTCCCATACTGTATTCCCTACATTTTTTTCTAGAATTTTTACAGCTTTAGCTCTTATATTTAAGTCTTTAATCCATCTTGAGATAATTTTTGTATACAGTGAAAAGCATGGGTTGATTTATATTCTTCTGAAATGACTAGCCAGTTATCACAGCACCATTTATTGACAAGGAAATCTTTCCCTATTGCTTATTTTTGTTAACTTTGTTGAAGATCAGGTGGTCATACGGGTGTGGCCTTATGTCTGGGTTCTCTATCCTATTCCATTGTTCTATGTGCCTGTTTTTATACCAGTACTATGCTGTTTTGGTTACTGTAGCCCTATAGTATAGTTTGAAGTGAGGTAGTGTGATGCCTCCAGCTTTGTTATTTTCGCTTAGGATTGCTTTGGTGATTTGGGCTGTTTTTTGGTCCATATGTATTTTAGAATTTTTTTTAACCAAGTAGATGAAAGCTGTCTATAAGGAGAACTACAAAACATTGCTGAAAGAAATCATAGGTAACACAAACAATCAGAATAACACTCCACGCTCATGCATTGTAAGAATCAATGTTGTTAATATGGCCATACTGCCCAAAGCAATATACAGATTCAATTCCTATAAAACTAACAACATCATTTTTTAAACAAATAGATTATATTTTCAAAAAATAATTAAGGTCAAATTTTAAAAATAAAAATAAAATAAAGTAACAACAAACTTGAAATCAATGTGAGGGAGAGATGAGAGAAATGAAAAATTGGGGGTACTTCTAATCCCAGTGCCTTTTCTCCAAAGTTTGGCCCCAAACCACCCTCTGAGGAGCCCTGCCTTTCCTCACCCCACTCTCATTACTCATATAACACTACACTGGGCGGGGGTGGACATTCAGTTGTCAGCATTGTTTCTCTTCCTGTAACATCAGATAAAATTAAAATTAATATTTTTAAGGGTGGGGACAATTTTCTCAACCTTATTTTGATGCTCAGTACTGAGCAAAGGAACATACGCATGGTAGAATCTCTAAAATTATTTTTTATAATAATAAGACTTTTGTGATTTAACTATAAACAGTGACCCATAATTTCCATAACATGTTCCAGAACACTGGTCTTATTATTTCATAGTGTGCCTGCATCTGTACAGCCTTTTAAAGGCCCATAAAATCAAGACATACATTATAGTTTTAAAATGTTGGTTGTAAAAAGAATAGAAATATAAATAGATATGATTTTGTAATAGCAGACATTACAGTAGAGCACAACTCTGAATAAATTGTGTATTCTAGCTATAAAAAGTTGTTAGAGAGTTAAGGCAAAAACCTGGCCAATACAATTTAAAGTTTTCCACATGTAGCACAAACTTCACATGTCAACTAAAATTTTATCTGAATGTTTAGTACTAGAACTTCACATCATTTTCAGAAATGGCTTTTTTTTTTTTTTTGAGATGGAGTCTCACTCTGTCACCCAGGCTGGAGTGCAATGTTACTATTTTGGCTCACTGCAACCTCCACCTCCCGGGTTCAAGCAATTCTCCTGCCTCAGCCTCCCAAGTAGCTGGGATTACAGGCACATACCACCACAGCTGGCTAATTTTTTGCGTTTTTAGTAGAGATAAGGTTTCACCATGTTGGTCAGGCCAGTCTTGAACTCCTGACCTCAAGTGATCATCCTCCTCAGCCTCCCAAAGTGCTGGGATTATAGCCGTGAGCCACCACACCCAGCCCAGAAATGACTTTAAAAAAATATCTATCTATCTATGTATCTATATATATATATTTATATATCTATATATATAAATATATATATAGATACATAGATTAGATAGATTTTTTAAAAATATTAACTGCATTTCTTCATTTCCTCATCTCTTTCTGAGCAAGGGAAATCCTCAGTTGAAATATAATTTCATTTTTTCCAGCCAATTTACACACATAACCTAGGGTCATCTGTATGTCTAATTTGTATGAAAGGGAAAGAAGAATATACAGAAACAAGAAGTAAAAATTATTTATATATATATACACATTGGGAAAGTACATTCTTCTAACTCTGCATGTGACTGAAATTCAGGGGACACATCCATACAATTTGAGACTGAGTTTTTTTCTCACATTTTCTATAAAATGCAAACATCATTGGTTATAATTATGGATCCACCCATTTAAATGTTCAATTCTGAAAATAAGAAATTATAAATCCCTTCTGAGGCCACGGTGAGTAAAGAATGAGAGTTTATATTTAAGCAGACAAGCATAGTGACACTAGGGTTGAAGTCAATGATTCCCAAAATTTGAATTAAGTCGAGAAACTGTTTCATGTTTTTGAAATTTCACAACCACAGCAGAAATGACAAAGTATCACAAGTCATGTTGGGAGCTCTTTGGTTTTTCCTGGGAGTAGAAATAAAGATTTACCTCCTCTTAATTTTTCCAGTGGGAGGTAAACAAACTTCTCTAAGCCGCTTCTGGTAAGGGCTTCCAAGAAAGTTTTTACATGTAGGAAGACAGAACAAGTGCAGGCAACTTCCAAGGTCCTCTTGTTTTGCAGATCACGGCACAACAGACCCACAGGAAGAACAAGTTAAGATAATGACTTTTCACCGAAGTACAAGTTAGCATCACCTGGAAGACTTTACAAAGCATGGTTGGCTGAGAGTCTGTGGGAGCAGAAGAGGAAACTGAGGCTTTAGGGAACTGTGGCACATTGGCAAGGACACCCAGCTCATCAACAGTGAGTCTGCCTCCAATTCTTTCTTCCCAGCTCAGATGTCTGCTAGGGCTCTATCTGGTAACCATGTCAAAGACACAATTTTAATTTAGAACAAGATTAAAAATCCTACATTTCTTCATGTTGGTGAGTTCAGTTGATATATATTCTGCTAGTGATTAAGATTTTTAAATTACTTGATTTAGAGTAAGGTTGATGTGGTCACTTATTTTCCTTGGGAAATTCACAAATGAAAGGTCGAGTGAGGTTTGAAAAGTAGGGGTCATTATTTGAAAGGATTATTCTGTCTAGTAAGTCTTTAAACAGAGTGCCCTGACAACATTAGTGGAACCAATAAAATGTGCCTTTTACCTTAAGTGGGGTCAGTATTCACAAAGATCCATTGAGCCCTCTTATTAAGGAGCTTTAACTGAAGGACTAGGGAATGCACCCACCATAAGGTTGCTATACAGTGTAAGATCACTGTGCAGTGCACTGTGTGTATGACATGTATTGTAAGGTGTAGATTACTGTGTTGGTGTGAGAACTACGTAACCGTGCAATATAAAGAGATCACAGCAGTGGAGGGAGTAAATGACTGTGCAGCAGAAGATGTCATCAGAATGCAGTGTAGAGAGCAGATCGCCACGTGGATTACAGTGTTGATCACTGCGCAGTATGAGGCGTCAGTCACTGTGTAGTGTAGGGAGCGGATCACAGTGCCGTAGGATGTACACCACCGTGCAGTATAGTGGGTATCACTGTGCAGATTGTATCACTGTGCACTATGGAGAGTGTATTACTGTGCATAGCAGAGTTCACATCATCATGCACCGTAGGGAGCAGATCGCTGTGCCATAGGATGAATACCACTGTGCAATATGTAGTGGGAATCACTGTGAAGTGCAGAGAGTGAATCACTATGCAGTGCAGGGTGTGGATGACTGTGCACTCAAGTGAGTAGATCACTGTGCAGTGTAGGGTACAGACCATTATGCAATGCAGGGTGTAGAGATGTGCAATGTAGTATACATCCCCATGCAATCTAGGAAATGCATCTCTTAGAGTTTTATCTGAGTTTACAAGTTACCATCTTGTGCATCATGCTAAGATGGTCTCTTTAAATAGGAGCAATGTGTTTTTCAGTGTTTGCTTTTCCTTGGTGTCCTTCACGTGTCTGCGATGAATAGCCATCTCAGAAGAGACTTTGCTGAGCCCATCACAGTGTGCAGGTACAGTGGAGAGCAAAGAGTACAGAGAATGGGGCTCTACCTTTGACTGTTATATAATCTGATAGCAGAGTAAAACACCAAAGTGTTCCTGAAAACATTTATGAGAGAGTGTAATAACCACTGAGGCACAGCCTTCATCTGAAAAGGGGATGAGTGGCCGATAAGAGTAGCAAGAGAAGTGAAGATAACATAATTCATAGAGAAAGGGAACTTACAGCTGTGTATTGGATGGAGGGAAGGCAGTCCAGGATGTGGCAACACAAAGTCCATGTAAGGCTTGGTTGACTAAGTAATGAGGTTAGAAGATGACTGCCTCAAGGGTGGTCAAGGAACCATGCACATCGGCGTCACTGGGGAGTCTTCATTTAAGAAGCAGGTTTTTGAGCCTTCCCCTACTGAGTGAGAGTTTCTGGGAATATGCATTGTAACCAGTTATCCCAGGTGACTCTCCACGGCACTAAGGTTTGAAACTGCTGATTAAATGACAGAGATACATGTGTGGATCTGGGGAAACCAGAGGTTTAATGCTAAGCTCCAGTGTATTGGATCATACTCAGGGCTGCCCTTGAGCCCATGAAGGTGGAGGAGAGTAGAAAGAAACGCTGCCTGGAAACGGGCACAAGGATGTTAACAAGAGCAAGGCACGGCAAGGGGGTCCAAGGCTGACTGCAGGCTGGGCACGAGTGGTGGCTCACACCTGTAATCCCAGCAGTTTGGGAGGCTGAGGCAGGCAGATCACTCGAGGCCGGGAGTTTGAGACCAGCCTGGGCAATATGGTGAAACCCCGTCACCACTAAAAATACAAAGAAAAAAAATTAGCCAGGTGTGGTGACACGCACCTGTCCCAGCTCCTTGGGAAGTTGAGGCAGGAGAATCTCTTGAACCCAGGAGGTGGAGGTTGCAATGAGCTGAGATTACGAAACTGCATTCTGGCTTGGGTGACGGAGTGGGATTCTGTCCCAAAAATAAATGAATAAATAAATAAATAAAGTTGACTGCCAAGCCAAATAAGGGAAGTCATGCAAATCTTCTTCAGTCTCATCTTCCTGTCTTCCTTGGGAAATGTGGGGTGGGTCCATGTTCTGAGGTTGTATCCTTCTCTGAGCTGGAAGCAGAACAGTGGACCCTCATACTGATGAAACACAGACAAGAAATGTCCCTACTTCTCTCAGACATTGTGAAAAACATATATCTACAAAGTTTATGGGGCTTTAGTACCTCCAAGCATGTAATTCCCCAGATGAAGATGTCTAATAGAGGTTCACTGCCAGTGGAATTCATCACAGACATCTCAACACAGTGTTATCCAGCATGTCTGCCCACATACCTTCTACTCTGGTCTCCCACCTATTTTTGGACATGCCATGGACAAACTCCAACCAGGAGGTTTGTCCTCTGCAGCCCCAGCATCTGCTGACCTGCTGCAAGTCACAGCCAACTATCTGTTTGATGCTTCAAGCCCCCTCTCAAATTCCAGCTCCTTCATAAAGCCCTTCTGATCCCACCTGATCCCTCTTCTCTCCAAGTCCTTGGAACGTTTTATGATAACTTAACACCTTCTGCCTTGTGTTCTGGCTATTTATGTGAGCACTAATATCCCTCTGACTGGGCTGGGGCCTACCAGAGAATGAATTTGTACTCTGTCATTATCACTAAAATTTTCCTGGATTCCTACAAAACAGGCTGCATATACCAGATACTCAATAAATATTTATTCAACTAAACTGGACTCAAAAAATTTGTAACTTTTCAATAGGATATACATAATGAAAAATTGCTTATTGAGTTCAGAACTGTTCTGCTTAGTGAATGCATGAATCAAGCATCAAAAACCTCAGTGCAATATGAGAAACTTGCACCACTTACTCACCCTCACTATCAGTCGGAGCAGCATTTTCTTTCCCTGGGATTCCCTCATGATTTGCGAGGCAGACCCAATCGCCTCCCGTCCGTTCTGATCTGTCCCCTTCATCCATCAGGGGCCGACAGCACCAATCCGTGATTACTAAGGGAGGCAGAAACCCCAGTCAGCTAGTCTCTTTGTCTGGACATAGGGCTATTCATGGAAACTGCATATTCAATGTACAAATAAGTGTCAGCTGAGAGACTGAACCGAATGATTGATTGCTCATTTCTCCATGAGAGCACTATTTGGAACAAAAGCCCTGATTATCAAATCATTGACACAAAAACGAAATAAGCTGATGGTGCCTTCTGATTATGAACTGAAGGTTTTCTGCTAACTTCATCCTGAGTGCTTCCTTCTCAGGCTTCCAGGCACCATATGATTAAACTTCACTGATGGGAGCTTAGATCCAAGGGATGTTCATTTATAAATCAACTGCATAGTGCCTTATGCATGGATTTTTGGGCTTTCTTAAGCATACGCCTTTGGGAGCTGAAGGACTCTGCCTTACTGGGTTTGGAAAGAAATTGTCCTATCAGCTCAGCACAGTCTAGGGAGGCTTTTATGGACTTTAGAGGACTCCAAATGCCTTTGATTGGCCTGTCTTTTGATTGGATACATCAATTATCTGTTGCTTCCAGTTGACCATTTCTAAAGCTTCTACCTGTTGTAGCTTATTGAATCCATGAACTAGAGTTGATGTGCATAGAACAAATACAAGATATAAATCTTCACTCTTCTCATGAAGAACTATGGTGCATTTTCTCGGCAGGCAAATACATGATGTATTGCAACACAGATACTCTAGTGAGATCAAAAATACAGTTTTAGCTTTTCCTTTGTAAAAATGTTTAATACTCTTGTAGCTGCAAACACAGAAAGATGAAAATAAATTTGCACAAATGACAAACAAGGCCAATAGTTCTTTATGTTATTTTTGCCGTGTTTATTGATGGAAACAGAGACATGGGGAATTTTATCTGACTCTGAGCCAGAAATGCTCAGTTGTCTTCTAAAGAATTTGTCCAAGCATAAAGTCAAGATAGAAGGAAAAGACAATACCTAGAATCACACACTGTTGTGGATTTGAGAACATTCTTGCTTTAGGTAAGGAGAGCAGCTGTGAGGTTCCTCCCATTTCACACTCCTGTTGTGTGGGGCTTCTAACTCAGGCAGGGACAAGCCTACAGCTTCTTATTTTAACCTGTGTCCACTTGCTGGGCTGAACCTCTGCTGCCATTCACCGTTTCACAGTCTCTGATATTTTGTAGTGGATTCTATGCCTAGAGTTTACATTGTTTTTTCACATTTCCTTATAGAATACTCTTAAGTCCAGAGAAAGGGAAACTATGAGGTACAGTAAGAATGTAGAAAGCAAGAGATCTCTGCTTGGAGCAAGCTTTTTGGAAAGCAGCTTTGGAAATGGTCCTGAGTCAGTAAGTTTGCTTTTGAGATCCATCCTAAGAAATAAATTCAAAATATGACCAGGTGTTCAAAAACAACAAGCTCATTGAAGCATCTGTGACGTTGCTACCCTCTGGAAAATGGAGGCTTTGCAATGGTGGCAGCCCAGTCACCAAGAATCAGTTGAGGATTAGCAACTGTGTGGGAATGATGCTTTAAGCAGACATGAAAATTGCCATGTCCATGTGTGTCAGGCACTTTGGAAGGCATTATCTCTTTTAATCTATAGAATTACCATTGCCATTCCCACAGAGGGTTAAATGAAACCTATATAACAAGCTGGTAATTGGCAGAGCAAAGGTTTCCATCCAGATATTTCAAGTCCAGAATTTGAGTATTTAAGCACTTTCTTTTACTGCAAAATAATTTTCCCACTATACACACACAAACACGTTTCATTCCTCATTGAGGCCCATTGCCATAATGAGCCACAAGATCCTATGGAAAGTGGCAAAGTCCTTAGTAATGAGGGTAGAAAATGGCAGAAGACAGTGGTGCTAATCAGAAAATACTCCAGAGACATCAGATCTCCACTGGTCCTGGAAATTCTATCCCAATATGGTGATGTCCCCATCTACCTTAATCAACATGAAACTTACCAGAATTGATTCATTTGCTTTTAGATGAATGAGAATGAGGCAGAATCTCTGGGCCATCATTGTTATCATTAACTCATTCATGAGACATACTCTGAGCCAGGCACGGTGCTGTGGATTGGGGCTGTGGGGACAAATGCATGCCCCAGCCATTAAGGAGCTCAGAGTCCAGCCTAGCAAAAAGAAAGTAAATAGATGATTCTAGTGTGACCAGTGATCTTGGAATAGGCTGGAGGATACAGATATTCAGGGGCAGCAACTGTCATTAGCCCATATCACATCCTGTATTTCCTTTTCTTAGGACATTTTTCTTGATATTTTTTCTTACAAGAGAGCACTTTCCTCAAGAAAGCACAGCATAAGTTAATATCTATTAATAGTTAAGGGAGGTGGGTGGATCTCAACATAATAGACTTTTTTAGTACATGTTCATTGTTTGCTAATATTTATATCAATTGTTTCTCCACTAAGCATCCATCAGTTAAGCCTTGGAGAAACAGAAATAGGAAGAGAAAATCAAGCTGGATTATTTTTCTTTATATGAAATAAAAGAGAGAGTTGAAAATGTTTTTAAAGGCACATAACTAGACCAAGATATTTGAAAAAGTATTTATGCCACATGTCTATATAACATGTGGTATACTTTAGAATTCCTGGATCCTTATGAAGATATTCAAAGTTAAAGTACTTACATTCATAAAGAAAGCCCGTGTGTGCATATCTGAACATATAATCCACAAAGCATTACTTTGGTCCATTTACAAGCAATGTTTTCATAATATAAATTTTAAAACCAAGTCCCCATTAAGACACAGGTTGTCCTCCTAGAGTTCAACTGTTCGCCCAAGGGCGACAGCAGCTTGAAAAAGACTCTGTGACTTAAGGGCCCCACACCGCCCTCAGTGCCACTTGAGATCATCCTGCCTCTTCAAAGTATGGAAATCCAGAATACATTTTGCAGCTAGCTCAGGTCAAAAACGCCTTGGGCTAAGGGTATTAGCAAGAGAAAGGGCACAGAGAGGCTGGCAAGTTGCTCCCACTGGACAAACAACTCTAGTCATGTACCCATCCACCTCTGTAAAATGAGATCATGGAAGAAACGCTGGGAGGCTCTTAGAACAGGGTCTGGAATGAGTAACAAGAGTTGTAGAGGAATTCTCACTGCCTTTCACACTCTGCCAGTTTCTGCCTGCGGAAGAGCATGAGATGAGAATTCCGCATCGTGTTCTGATAAGGGACTAATGTATTGGCTGTGAAACCAACTCCTTCCCGTATAGGCTGTTTGTTAATTTTCAAAGCAGTCCTATATCTACAATATCATCTGATCCCCATAATCATCCTACTGAATGATCCTAAAAGATGTCATAGTTGACAGAATGATTTTAAAAATAAGATGTGAAAAAAATGTAGGCACAGGTAGGCAGGAAGATGATTAAAGATTTAACTGTAGATGGTGGGGGCAAGTCTTTTAAATGTTTTATTTCCAGGGAGGTGCTCTTCCAGCCTGTGCGTCTTGTAGCCTGTGTGTCTGGGTGTGCATTTTTTAGAAGTGTACAGAATGAATAAGCACACAGGAAATGAGGGTGAGAGATAGCTGAGGCAAAGGCCCAGAGGTATGACTCCAAGGAAAAGGGAGTAATTACTCAGTATCTCTACCACTTCAGTATGTATTACCTGTGGTAAGAAATCCGTCACAGATGCCTGACTTCCCTCCACCCTCAGTACCACCCCATCAAAAGAAAAAGTCCTGTGTGAAGGCTTTGTTGTGGACAAGGAATGCAAAAGCAGGCAAGACCAATGATGAGAATTTGAAGGTAAGAGAAAATGAGGCAGCCAAGGATATCCCAAGGCCACTTATGCCTGATAGAAAAATAAAGAAACTTTAATTCGTTCATGCTTGACAGCTGCAGAAATGTGAGGCCCCGAGCAGACTGTGTCAACAAGGATAATTATTCTGTCTTGCTTCTACAGCTTAGGAAACACAGAGGGGTCGAGGATAAGGGCGCCAAGCTCCACACCCCCTTGCTCAGTCACAGTGGAATTTGACATTTCACCTGTGCTCTGACTGGCATTGAGATGCTTCCCAAAATATACTTATGAAGACAGGGCTAAATTTGCATGACAGGAAGAATATCACAAAATATAGTATACTTTAATATTTAAAATACAAATTACCCAAAGTGCTATGAAAGTTTGCTTTTGCTGCTCCATCAAAACAGATGAGTTATAAAACTGTGCATTTTGAATGGACTAAAATGCAGGCCATGATGGTGAGTAGATCGGTACGCACGGTGAACCCCACCTTCCCACTTGCAGTGACCGCATTGCACAGCCCGGTGTGTGTACGGGAGCACTGGGTATGATTGTAGGAAGACTGTTTACATGTTCTTAATTGGGTCCCCTAAGCACAGAGCCTAGTCAGGCATGCTTTTAAGTACAGATCTTTGTACTTCAATCATAGTTAGAGGTTTTTTTTTTTTTTTTTTTTTTTTTTTGCTGCTTTGAGACAGTTTTCAGAAAACTTGTAAAAGGCAGTTACATACCTGGAAAAGGCCATGCTTCCTCAGACAGACTGGCACTCCAGGCACTGTCTGTGTTTCCTAAGAGGAGTATGTAATGGGTGTGTTGCTGGGATGGGTAGCTGCAAAGATGAGAATATGCACACCCCTTCTCTAATACGGGGAGTGGAACCAAAAAGAGTAAATATTAGTAACAGTAACTTGTCAGAGGAAGCTCCAGAGCTATCTTAACTCAGTGTTTTCGCTCCGTTTTAAATATTTATTTATTTATATACTCATTTATTGATATTTTACTGATTATAAATGCAATGTATATCCATTACAGAAAGAAATCTTGAAGTACAAAATATGAACATTAAGTATAAAATCTGCCTGTAATGATATCACCTAAAGATTATAGCAGCTAAAAGTTTTAGTGGATTTTCTTCAAATTCTGTATTATGAATTCTTAAATAGTAGCCTCAGGGGAGAGTTTTTAACCACTATTTCTTAATCTAACCCCGTATCATTAGTAATTTTCTATGTTTCCATATATTTTCCTACAACATCAGTGTTAATGTCTGCACAACACTGAATCCATTCAATGAAGTGGATGGGTATGTCAGCATGAATTTGACCTCATTTTGAGGCAATTAAGTTGTTTTTTGCTAATATAAGGGATTTTTTTAATATAAGGGATTTTTATTATTTTCTTATATTATTTTCTTATTTTCTTATATTATTTCATTATTTTATTATATTATTTTATATTATTTTAATATAAGGGATTTTTGTTAATATAAGGGATTTTTTCAACAGGCATTTATATATGTGAATACTAGCCTCATTTTAAAATTATTTTCTTACAGTAGATTTTTATAATTGGAATTGCGACACATGCGAATTTTCTGTGTTCTGGCTCAGGTGGTTCCTCACAGACACGGCTCAATTTGCCTTCCCTGGAGCAGGAGGAAGGGTGGGTATGTCAGCAAGGGAGGCCGAAATAACTGCCTCTCAATGGTGGGTTGAGAACTTCTAAGAAAATCCGACCAAAATTCTCCCTTGTAATTTTCTACCATCTATTAATTCGTGCCACAAATTCATTTAATGGGAGACTAAATCTTATTACAAAATACGTGTGTGTTATGATGCAAATAGCTATGGAAGAGAAACATTATCACTCAAATTCTGGCAGTGCATGTGGTTAAACCACGTGTCCCTTTTCAATCCCTGTATACCATCAGAACTTTATACATCCACAGAGAGCAGAGCACTGGGATTTTAAAAGGAAAAGAGTAGAAAGTTAAAGGAGAAAAAAAATAGATACCAGAGGAAAAATTCTCACCTGCTATGACGTTCCCATGCATATCTTGATAGGAAAGAAGAAATACCAGGCTCCACTTAATAAATCAGTAAATAATAGATTTTTAAGAATTGGGATTCACTTTCCTTCTGGTTAAGAACTAGCCCTGAAGGATTTCTGCTTCCAGATAAACCGGATTAACGAGGATGAGTTTATTCTCCTGCCTGAAGCAACAACCACCAAAATGAGACAAAATATGGATAACAATAGTTTTCAAGCGACTGCACATCAAGGATGACCCTGGATATAGGAATGAGAGTGACCCCTGAGAGATAGAAAACAAATGAGGTATATTTTAGGATTTTCTGAGTTGACTAATACAAGGGAGTTTGTGGGATACTGTGATGAGAGCCAAAACCCAGGTAGAATTCAGCAGGCACCCTAAGTTGAAAAGAAAAAGTTGCGAGTCAGGGAATATCAAGGCAGCTAGGGGTGAGATTACCGGAATTCTGAGAGCTGCACAAAGAAAGAAGCCCAGGAATTTGCAAAGAATCCTACTCTAGCATTCAGCAAAATATTCATTGTTTGGGGAACCTACTCAAAACTAGAAAAAAGAAAAACTATTAAGGACAATGCCCAAAGCTGACGTGAAAAGGGAATGAATCTGTTTCCAGGATCCAGGCTGGAGAACCTCACATTTTATGGATCATTGGATTGCATAATAAGAAGGTATTTGCTTCAATATTTGAAAATAATTAGCCCTAAACCAAAGGCTACTCTGATCCTGGGTAGGAGTTCCTAAAATCAAGACACAGATACACCAAACTGTTTACAACTCTTTAGCTATGCCAGAACAAATCTGAAGAATGTCTATAAGAATACCAAAATATTCATGTAACACAAGATAAAATTCAGTGTCCAGCATTCAATAAAATATTTCCAGGAATATAAAATAAGTAGGAAAATGTAACATAATGAGGAGAATATCAATCACATAAAACTTACCCATAAATGACATAGATGTTAAAATTAGCAGCCAGGGACATTAGAACAGGTATTATAACTATATTACATGTGTTCAAGACACTCTGAAGTTAAACAGTGGTCATTGTTGTACCATTCAGTGAATATATTAAAAAGCACTTAATTGCATAGTTTAAAGAGATAAATTTTATAGGATATGAACGGTATCTCAATAAAGGTATTATTTCTTTAAGAAACTGAAATAATTTTTCAGACGTGCAAAAGAATAAACATTCATTAACATCACACTTGCACTACAAGAAAAGTTGAAGAAAATAATTTAAGCAGAGGGAAAATAAAACCAGAAGGAAATATAAGTCTAAACAAAGGAATAGAGAACAAAGGATATGGTAAATATATAGATAAATATATAGAATTTTTCTTATTACTCAAATCTCTTTAAAACATAGTTTACTTTGTAAATGAAAAATAATGTATTTTGATTTTATATGTATAAGTATAATGTATGATAAAAATAACATAAAACCTTAGAAGGGAGAAATGGATGATTATTATTTCAAGGTCTTTAAAAACGAATTTTATTTTGGATTTGGGGGTACGTACACAGGTTGTCATGGGTCTATTGGGTGATACTGGGGTTTGGGCTTCTAGTGAACTCATCACCCAGACAGTGAACATAATACCCAATAGGTAGGTTTTCATCTTTGCCCTCCTCCCTTCTTCCCCTCTTTTGGAAACCTCACTGCCTATTGTTTCTGTCTTTATATACATGTGTACCTATTGTTTAGGTCCCACTTATAAAGGGAACATGCAGTATTTGATTCTCCATTTCTGTGTTAATTCACTTAGGATACATGGCTTCCAGCTGGATCCATGTTGCTCCAAAGGACATGAGTTTATTCTTTTTTATAGCTGCATAGTATTCCATAGTGTATATGTTCTATATTTTATTCATTCAATCCATTGTTGATGGACACTTAGACTTATTCCATGACTTTGCTATTGTAAATAGTGCTGCAATAAACACAAGTTCATGTGTCTTTTGATAAAATGATTTCTTTTCCTTTGCATAGATACCCAGTAGTGGAATTGGTGGGTCAAATGGTAATTCTATTTTTAGGTCTCTGATACATCTTCATACTGTTTTCCATAGGGGTTGAACTAATTTATGTCTGACCAATGGTGAATAAGCATTCCCTTGTCTGCATCCTTGCCAGCATCTGTTATTTGTTAACTTTAGCCATTCTGACTGGTGTGAGATGGTATCTCATTGTGGTTTTGATTTACATTTCTCTAAATATTGGTGACATTGACTATATTTCCATATGTTTGCTGTCGTTTGCCCACTTTTTAATGGGCTTACTTTTTTTTTTTTTTTTGTCTTGTTGATTGGTTTAAGTCCCTAATCGATTCTGGATATTAGTCTTTTGTTAGATGTACAGCTTGCAAATATATTCTCCCATTCTGTAGATTGTCTGTTTACTCTGTTGTTTCTTTTGCTGTGCAAAGAAGTTCTTTAATTCTTATTTGTGAATTTCGGTTTTTGTTGCAATTGTTTTTGAGGTTTTAGTCATAAATTCTTGGCCTAAACCAATGTTCAGAAGAGTTTTTCCTAGGCTTTCTTCCATGGTTTAATAGTTTGAGGACTTACAGTTAAGCCTTTAATCCATCTTCAGATGATTTTTTATATGGTAAGAGCTAGGAGGTCCAGTTTCTTTCTTTTGCAAGTGGTTAGCCAGTTTTCCCAGCACCATTTATTAAATAGAGTGTTCTTTCCCCATTGTTTATTTTTGTTGATTTTTTTCAAAGATCAGGTGGTTGTAGGTGTGAACTTTATTTCTGGGTTCTTTATTCTACGCCATTGATCTATGGTCTATTTTTGTACCAGTGCCATGCTGTTTTAGTTACTATAGCCTTGTAGCATCATTTCAAGTTGGGTAGTGTGATGCTTCCCACTCTTTTATTTTTGTTTAGGATTGTTTTGGCTATCTGGGCTCTTTCTTTGGCTCCACACACATTTTAAAATTTTATTTCATAACTCTATAAAAAATGTCATTAATACTTCGATAGAAATTGTGTTGACTCTGTAGATTGCTTTGGGATCTATGGTCATTTTAACAATATTGATTCTTCCAATCTATTAGCATAGAATGTTTTTACATTTGATTGTGTCATCTATAATTTAGTTTATCAGTATTTTGTAATTCTCCTTATAAAGACATGTCACTTCCTTGGTTAAATGTATTCCTGGATATTTTAAATTTTGTGGCTTTTGTAAAAGAGATTGAGTATTTTTTCTCTTTTTAGAGACAGGATTTCACTATGTTGACCAGGCTGATCTCAAACTCCTGACCTCAAATGATCAGCCCACCTTGGACTCCCAAAGTTCATAAATTACAAGCGTGAGCCACCATGCCTGGCAGGATTAATTTTTTTTATTTGGTTCTTGGCTTGAACATTAATGGCTATATACAAATGCTACTAATTTTTGTACATTGGATTTGTATCCTGAAACTTCACTGAAGTCATTAATCAGGTCTAGAAATATTTTGGAAGAATTTTTAGTGTTTTCCAGCTATAGGATGATGTCATCAGCAAACAGAGATAATTTGACTTTCTCTTTTCCTATGTGAATGCCTTTTATTTATTTCTTTTACCTGATTTCTCTGGCTACAACTCCCAATACCATGTTGAATAAGAGTGGTGACAGTGGACATCCTTGTCCTATTCCCGTTATTAGAGGGAATGCTTTCGACTCTTGCCAATTTAGTACAATGTTAACTGTGGATTTTTTATTGAAAGTCCTTATTATTTTGAGGTGTGTCCCATTGATGCCTCATTTGTTAAGAGTTTTTATTACGAAGGAATATTGAATTTTATCAAATGCTTTTCAGCATCGATTGAGATCATCACATGCTTTTTGCTTTTAATTATATTTATGTGGAGAATTGCATTTATTGATTTGTGTATGTTGAACCATCCTTGCATCCCAGGTATAAAACCTACTTGATCATGGCAACTTATCTTTTGGATGTGCTGCTAGATTTGGTTTTCTAGTATTTTATTGAGGATTTTTGCATCGGTGTTCAGGAGATGCATTAATTTTATTTAACTCTGCTCTGATTTTAGGAATTTCTTTTCTTCTGCTAACTTTGGTTTTCACTTTTTGTTTTATTTTTTTAGTTACTTTAAATGCAATGTCAGGTTGTTAATTTTGGAACTTTCTATCTTTTTATATGGGCATGTTGTTAATTTGGGAACTTTCTGTATTTTTGATGTAGGCATTAAGCACTATAAACTTTCTTCTTAACAGTACTTTTGCTGTATTTCAGGGATTTATGTTGTGTCTCTATTTCATTTGTTTCAATAATTATTTTGATCTTGACCTTAATTTCATTGTTTACCCAAAAGTCATTCCTGGGGAAGTTGTTTAGCGTCCATGTAGTTGTGTGGTTTTCAGAGTTCCTCTTGTTATTGATTTCTAATTTTTTCCACTATAGTCTAAGAAGGTGTTTGATATGGTTTTAGTTTTTTGAATTTATTAAGACTTCCTTATGACCAAGCATGTAGTCAATTTTAGAGAATGTTCCATGTGCAAATGAGAAGAATTTATATTTTGTGGTTGTTTTATGGAATATTCTGTAACGTCTGACCACTTCTTCGGGATTCCAATTTAAGTTTAGAGTTTGTTA